TGTTCCCTATTCATGGCCACACCCTTTGAGCCTCTCATCAGTTATTCGGTAATTGTTTTTTTGCTCTCACATTTTTATTAATAATTTATATATTGAATGCAATCAAAGTGCAAAAGCGGACCACAAACACCAACTGGTGATGGATCACTGCTGGATCATAACAAGAATTTTAACAATTTAAGGGAGGGAGGGAGGCTAGTATTTGCAAAGAGGGGGGTCTAGTCGATCTTCCCCTTCTTCCCCGTGGTCATCTCGAATCGCGAGTCGTAGTTCTTCGTGTCTGCCTCCTGCACCCGCTTTCCCACCTCGTTCTGGCGCTTCTTCGACTTCAGATTCACGAATTCCACTCGTGCAGGATTCAGTGGCTCCTTGTCGACTTCCATGTGGACCATTTTGGTATCGGCGACCGGCTTCTTCTCCTTGGGGTTCTTTAGTCTCTCCTCCTTGTACATCAGTCTCAAGTAGTCGCGGCGGGTCAGCTTCCTCTTCTCATTTGTGGGGACCACGGCCACTGGGGTGGAATCCTTTTCGACTAACTCCTTGAGCAAAGGGCCCCGGTAAACAGGCCAAGGCGCCGATTTGCGCCACTGCGAGGTCTCTGTTTGACCACATTCAGAAATCGGAGTCGGGCCAGGCTTCTGCTTGTTGTGGTCTTTGCTGTAATCGTTGTGCATTTTCTTCATAGCGTCGTACAAAATGTCGCTCTTCTTAAGTTCCTGCGACTGGTCCTTGGTCACCTCACAGACAGCTTTGGCCTTGACTGAAACCACGAGGGCGGATGGTTCTTTTTTTGCGACGGTCTTCAACACGTCAGTAGTCTGGGCATCCACTAGGGAACTAGACTTGGACCAGCGGAGTGGCCTCACGGAAAAGTGCCGCAGCGGACCTGTAGGTTTAGGAAATCGACGGTGATAATTCCCCGAAAGGTCCCCAATAGGAGTACCATGGAAATACTCACCGCGAGACAGAATATGAAGAATCATCCTGCTTGATCTGATGATTTTTCGTTACAGTATAGTTAGTTTTCAAAAAAAAATTCAGGTTTTCAACTTTTGGGAATTAAATTTTCTGTCGAGTTGTTTAGTTTATTGTGACTGAGTGAAATGCTTCTCAGGCAGTGAGGTTCTGTCTGCCGCATATACAGCCTGCTGCGATGACAAATACAGTTCCTTTGGACAACCTTTTCCTGAAACATCAGCTCAAGCCAAAGGAACTTAAATAGGAAATATGTACATGATGTATTCAAAAACCGTTTCATCCCAGAGAAACGGAAAGTCTACCCTCAAGCGGCACTCCACTACATCTTCATTCTCTCTGCCTTTCTTTTTATTTATTATTTGCTATTAAATAAATATATGAATATTTATTGCGGACAAAAGCATCTATCTTTGGCTCCCAAAAAGGGGGGTGCAACAGCCAAACGGTGGGTGGAGTGGTAGTTTAAGTAAGTTTATGCAAATAAACTCTGACGATAATGTTGCTGTTTCTGTTGGGTTGGACGAGTTTTTGCTGGGGATCCCAAAGACAGGAGTGTAAGCTATAGCTAAGAAGGGAATGACTGGGAATTCCAAGATGCAAGTTTGGGCGAGGATTAAAGCGGCCTACGGAACTTTTTTACATATGTACACACATATGTGTGAAGACAGGCGACCTCCAGCCGCTTGGCAAAGCCTCGTCGAGCCATGGCCATTAAGCAAATTCTCTGGCATTAAGGCAAAGTGTTAAAATTATGATCTGTTAAGTGTCTAAATACGAGCGCAGTCGTCAGAACGGGTGAGAAAGGTGTGGGGGACTTGGGCCTTGGGCCTTGGGCCTTGGGCCCTGGGCCTAGAGGGTTGTTCCAACGGTCCTGCTGCTGTGCTGCTGTGCTGTGTATTTAAAATGTCATTTTGTTGTCAACCTCAGACTTCTTGTCTTATGTCAAATTATAATTATGGCGCCATGCTACTAACGACATTAACAGCTCCCGAATACCGACCCAGCAACAGCAGCAGCAGCCATTAAATTGCCTAAGCATACGAACCCTTGTTGTTGGGTGTCCCTGTTGTCCTTGCGTCGCACTGTGCCCCACACTGCTTGGGTTCTAGCTCTGGTCCTGGTCCTGTTCCTCGTCCTGTTCCTGGTCCTGGGTCTCGCCTTCATTATCAGCATCGAAAGTTAAAATGCAGGCAATGGCTGCTGCCAGCAAATGAAACATTTTCGTTCTGTAAGGTTAAACGTTTCAAAAACTTTGTTTTAAAATCACTTAACGCCCGAAATACACATACAGACACAAGTACACACACACACACATATATATATATATATATGGATGTATAGTGAAGCTTCCAGAATGAAGGGGAAGATTTTAGAGAATTGCTATCTTGGAAAAGTTGTCCAAGAAAAGGAAACATAGCTAACCATTTCGAGAGACAGCCGCTGAAATAGGTTTCACTGTAGCTGCACCACCATATCATATTAAATTCAAAGCGAATTTCCCAGATACCAATGGCATCATCTTCTTGTTTAACTATTTGGATTATCCAACAATATGGCATAGCCCTTTTTTCTGGGGTCTATTTTAATTAGTTTCTACTGTACTCCCACGCACACACACACACACAAACACGTGCACATGAATTCAGCGTTCAAAAAGGGTGCAGACTGTTCTCCACTCCCATTCCCATGCCCATGCCCATGCCCATCTCCAGCATCGTCGTCGTCGTCGTTGTCGTCGCCTTTTGCAAAGTGGTGATAATTTCTGCTTTGTTGCGAAAATGACAACATTTTAACCCGGCACAACAGCAGCGGCAGCGGCAGTGGCAGCGGTAGCGGCAGCACTCCACCACCACCACCACCACCACCACCCCAATTCCACCACACAAGCCAGCTCCACCCCCACCCGGCGCACATTCCAACACCACTTTTGAAGGTCTCAACTTGCAATGGACGCGACTTGTGTCGACTTTTAATGGTTTTTCATCTTATTAGCAGGGAAAAGTTCTTTGTCGCCGTTGTTTTCCATGCCACGCCCACACAGCCAGAGGGCTGCAGAGGGCGACGGGAGTGGGTGATGGGTGCTTTGAGGGTGGTGCAAAATGGCCAACAGCTACAACAGATTTATTTGCAATTTTTGCTCATTTGGCAAAAACACAAAACGAACTGAAAAGAAGTTAAAATAAATAGACGCCAAAGTCCTTTGTCTTTAGCCACTTTGTGAGCCTTCTTTGGTTACATCGAGCGTCTCTCCACTCCACTACACCACTCACTTCTGTCCTCATTCCAGGACTCTACCCCCCATTCGCCGTTTGTTGCTGTTGCTGCCGCTGCTGCTGCTGCTGTTGCGAGTATCTGAGGGCGCATAATTAAAAAAGTTTCATTTCATTTTCTTGGGTTTCTTGGTTCGTTTCGCCTGTTTATGTTCATTTGTTTTCTTGTGTAGGTTTCTGGGGTTTCTGGTCCCCAAGTTCTCTTCTCTGTTCTACAACTCCGCCATTTTCCAGCCCTTAAAATTGTGTGGGCCCATGCCCAAGCCCAACAACTGTCGTCAGTTGTTTGTTGCCTTTTGTCTTAATGATTACCGCCTTCTTGCGTTTTTTGCATGCTTCGTTTAATTTAATATTAATCTAAGAAGTTTGTTTGTTTTTTATATGTTCTTTTGGTTGGCTAAGGCTGTGGATATGGATGTGGCTCTGGATGTGGACCCAAAAGCTGCAAATGACTTTGGTTTACGTTTAAGTGAAATGATGATATGATGCTGCAAAACATTCCCAAAAAGACAGAGAAATATGGCTAAGCCCTTGTGAAGTTTTGTTAATTAGGATAAAGTACAAAAATGGTTTAGTTTGGGCTTAGTTTGATAACTATTTGATGGTTCTAATATCTGCTACGAGTCCGTGGCTAATTTAAAGCTTACCCAATGCATCTTAGCTGTGGGTTAATCGAGGTTAATCCTGTATGCAATCGAGTCGACCTTCCTTTGCCTCAGCCAGAATTCCACCCCATGGCTTCCCATCCCATCCCGTCCAGGGGCAAGGGCAAGGACAACCCTCGCACCTTTTGTTGATTAACTCAAGCATTTTGGCATTCAAAATGTTTGGCAAATGAATTTTATATTCGCGCTCCCCCCCCCCGACATCTCTCGCGTCGCGTCGTCTGGGAGTTCCAGTTTATGGATATTTCAAAAATGCACAGTTCTATTTAGAGGGGAGAAAGGATGACTGGCATGACTGGGGGATGGAATGGACCCGGACCCAGACCACAATAGTTGCCATGTAAAAGTTGCCGCAGGGTGCTTAAATATTGCATTGTAAGCGAAGGAAGGAAATGTATGCAGTTCCGATCCCGGCTCACGGACCCTAGGAGGAACCTCCCACCCCCCTCACATTCAGTAATTCATTCCGTTGGTGTCTGCATGGCAGAGCTTCATTTGTGATATGTTTGTGTGCTCTGTTTTTATGAAGCTTTCACAACTCCGTCGGGCATTAATTGTCGCGAAAATATTCGGATTCAATGCTGCTAAATGCCAAATTCCGCACTTTAATTTCCATGTGCCTTCCCCATCTGTCATGGTTGGTCTCTCACTTGGTCCCTGGACCATGGCAACCCATAGGGACATAGAGGATCTATAAATTCACAGCATAATTGGCAGCTGCTGGAATACTCGCAGCGTCGGGGGGCATGGATGGGCGGACGCCTTGGGGGTATCGCTGCTGGATTTGTGCACTTTGATTGCATGGGAACGGTTGCCAAAAAATTAACCAAACACCGAGAGCATCGTCCCTCTGTGTGTGGGATTTCGAATTTGGGATTTCGGTGGCTCCTGAAAGTGTTCTTGGTTTAAAGGGTTCTAGAGTTCTAGAGTGTTTCAAATATTCCTAAATGATGTCGTTGAATGAATCTTTAAAAAGCCCACTTCTTAGCTCTCAAATTTGACCTTTACCATAATCCCATTTAAATGGCAAATCAAAATCGCCTCTGATAGATAACCTTCTGGTATTTTCTCATCCTCTAATTGACAGGCAAAAGCTTCACGCTGACAATAGTCATCTCGACGAATCCCATCCAGATAGCAACGTACACGAAGGCCATCAAAGTGACCGTGGACGGGCCGCGGGAGCCACGCTCCAAAGTCCGACATCAGGGCTTCCATCCGTTCGCCTTTGGGCCGCAGCGCTTCGGACCGGATCCACTTATGGCCGGATTGCCCTTCAAGTTGCCAGGTAAGCACATCAACAACAACAACAACAACAAGAACAGTGGCAAGGGCTATGAAAAAACCCGGCTTAAACGATAGCATTACCACTTGGCCGAAGGGACGGATGGGGTGGATGGGGTGGATGGGCGGATGGGATCCTGGAACGAACGGAACTAAGCGGCTTTGTCAAATGGCCTCAAGGGCTTGTCGCTCGTTAGACACCGAACCACACGTATCAATGTCAGGTGGCGTGCAGTGGGGTGGCAGGAGGCTGGGCGAGAGGTGAGGCAGGCTTATTGCTTGTCTATTTTAGCCGCGGGGCCGCACGCGAAATTAGCTGTAAATAAATATACCTTTTTAAGGGGTTAAACGAACCGAAGCCCGAAATGCCGAATACCGAATGCCAAAGGCTATGGGCCATGCACAGAGAGAGAGAGAGAGAGAGAGAGGGCGAAGTTCCATCTGGATTGGCTTATAGGTTAATTAGAGATTTGTGTATATAACCCGATTGGATACCCCTCATTATATGCCAGAGTTTCCATTTCCATGCAATTGTCTGGGAGGGCCAGTCGACTCATCTCCAGCCTTAGGGTCTCTAGATATGCCCTAATGAGATGAGCCGATGCTGAATGGATTGGCTGGAGCTAATATGAAAATGTTCTTGCGGCGAACATTTATTTCTTGGGTATCTTAAAAGATTGGGCTTAATTTTGCATATCCCCTGAGCCCTTTGAGACTTGAAAGTCCATAGAAGTTGCAAGCCTCTATGGGAAGTACTTGGAAGTAGGTAGTTCCTTAGAGATATTTGATTAGAAATAGGTATTGATTTAGTAGCTACTCTGAAATATTGTTCAACTGCTTGAACCTTATGGGTCCCACTGCCAGCATATTTATCCAAACCAAATTGTGCCCGTAACCCACTACTGGCTTCATTAACACCTCCGGCCATTAGCATAAAGATGATGACAAATGGATCAGGGGGGACAAGTCTCCGGCCTTCAGTTAGAGACGGATTCACAACCACCCTGTCGCACGCTGTGTGTGTGTGTCTGTGTGCCCTATTTATGGAAACACTGGGAGAGACACAATAGAGGCGACAATTATACAACAAAACAACAGCTTGAAAAATCCATTAAAATGATTTTAATCCTTTAACGAGTCACAAAAAGCGCCAGCAGCCCGGCGGCAGCAGCTCGCGGAGGCTGACTCCAATGTGCTCGAGGATATGGCTGCTGTTGAAATGCGCATCGTCTCGCGGGGGATGGTAATATCCTCTTGGATATTACTTGAACCCGAATCCGTACCCCGTCCTTCCGACCGAAGCCAACCCCAAGCAGCAGCAGCAGCAGCAGCAGCAGCAGCAGCAGGCGTAGCCTTAAATTATTTAAAAGAGCCCCGCGCGACTGTTGCAACAATAAACACGCGATATAACCAGACTGCGAACAAGGATAACGATGGCAAGGACGACTGTGACTGGGCTTTGGAGGGGGATCCCGAGAAACAGAAGCAGAAACTGAAACTGAAACAGTAACGGAAACAGTCGTCGCCTGGTGAACAAATCGCGTTTGATACGCTTTGATTTTATTAAAATTTAACAATTTCACTATGAAATTTATGAGGCCTGCCTCTGCTGATGCCTTTAGAGCTCTGCGGGTGGTTCCTTTTCGCATTGGTTCGATTCAATACGATTCGTTTTCGTTTGTCTGGGGACTGGCGATGGGTATGCTGCCGGTGCCTGAGACCCTCGCCAAAGGGCTTACGTACCACTTGCTTCAGATGTTGCATCATTTGTTGGGCTCTCGTTTTTCTTGATCATTACAAAGCTGTCAGATGATGATGAGAAGTTTAAAATTCTTAATTTGATTGTTTATATAATTTACAAGATTAATTGCGGAATTCTAATTAAAATGTATAATATGTTTTTTCTGTATTAGATTTAAATAAGGAGTGGTGCATATAAACATCTCTTATCTCTTTTTTCGCTTGGGTATGCTTAAAAAAAAGTCTTAAAGATGATTAATGTGCCATTAAGGGTTCACTTTGATTTCTAGTCCTGCTAGTCCTATTGATTTGAAAGTGGTTCAACTACATGCTTCGGATGTCCTTTGGCCACTCCTAGTCCGCTGTCCTGGCAAATCATTTAAAAATAAGAAAACTTTTCGCCAACAACTACCGAGCTGAGAGACAGGGAGAGGGGTACGAGTACACATGGCGAAAGCCAGAAAGAGAGACGTTGGGACTGAGTGGACTGAGTGGAGGAGCAGCACTCGTACTCGTACTCGTACACTATCTCTCCACGACGGTGCAAAGTGACACAGCAGCTGAAAAAGTCTCAAAAATTACATTAAAAACTAAAAGGACTTTGTGCTTCTCGTGCATGCTCGTATGTGTGTGTGTGTGTGTGTGTAAGTGCTTACTTATATATGTATGTATGTGAGTAGTGAGTAGTTTTTTGGCATACGAAAAGGTTCTGCTGCTGCTGCTGCTGCGTGTCAGAGAAAGTTTGCCAAATGATTAAAAGGACTCGGCAAATATGTAGTTGTGAGCCCTTTCTCGCCCCTGAGACGTTGCAACGAAATAAATATAAAATGGCGTTGTAAGCAAAAGCACATTAGTGACAAGCTTCCACCCCATCCCACCCCGTACCCTCGATTTCTCTCAAATTTAACCCATTTTACCCCACATTCTCATACACATCCTTCGGAAGGTGCCTGCGACATGGTGTCGCTACCCTCTACCCTCTTACTCACCCACTTTCTGTGTGGAAAAGTGGAAAATTTGTAGCTTCCGCAGCGGATATCCTGTTTCACACACGCGTTGCCTCCCCGCATTACATCTTCCCCTTTGCCCTTCCCCTTTGCCCTTCCCCTTCACCATCCCCTCTACCCTACCCTTTGACGAGCACGAAGTGTAACTAAAAAAGTTTCACGTTGCGTTTTTAGTGAAAATTATATTAAAATTTTGCGCTTGATGTAATTTATGTCATAAAACCCTAAAGAGCCAGGGCTCCTCCTGTGTGTCTATGCATGCATGTATGTGTGTGTGTGTACGTACATAGATGTGTGCATATGTCTCGCTAATGTTGTAAATGAATTTTCTGCTCGAATTAATTTCCCCAAAACGTCCCAAGACAATGGCAGACGGAGCACCACCCCCACCCCCACCCACACATCATTGTATATATGTATGTATATATGTATGTGAGTGTGTATATTTTTTCCTCATTTAAGATTATTTATTTAAAACCCCTTTTTTTTGGTCCTGCTGTTGTTTGGCTGCTGTCAAAGGCAAAGGCGCCCGGGCAAAGATCAAAGTCTGTTGAGTCCACCCTGGTACACCCACAGACACGCATACACATGCATAAGCACACACACACATACATACAATTGTAAAGCGACTGCACCACATTTGGTTTATCCTTTGAGCAGTAAGGGGATTGTGGGTCCGGGCACTTTGTGTTGAGGTCTGCTTCAAAGCCAAAGAATGCCAATCGAGAGGAGATCAAATCAACTATTTCAACTTCAAGTCAGCTGTTGTTTTTAAAAGGCAAAAGAATGATCCAAAAAATCACTGGTAGATTGGTAAATAAGAATAATAATAAACTATTACCAGTTTCTATGAAATTTATTCCAACAAGAAAAAAAAAATCAAATTTTCCTTCTAATTTTATTTAGTTTTACGACAAGACCTTATTTTTTTATTGATATCTAAAATTTAATATATTTAATTCAATAAAAATGTATTAACCCCCAGTTTAAACTATTATTAAATGCATGTTAAACGCGGCACGGGCCGCGGCTCTACCCTTATGCCCAATACTCAGTCAGTAGATCCGTGAGCTTATAAATTATGTACCTTGTGCGCATTCCTAAACTCTTCGAGTGGCAGTTTTTGTTTCTGTCAAAGTCACTTTATCCTCTACGCCTCCGAATCCTTCATATCTTCTAACATAGCCCCTCAGTGCCAGTAAAAAGTGAACAGCTTCTTTCATGTTTTTTGTCATCGTTCCAACACGTTTTTCATCTCATTTTTGTTTGTTTGTTATTTTTGCTGGCTGGATGGGGGTGGCTTTAAAGGGTTAAACGTTGCAGTCTTTAAACAAGTTAATAAACTCATAGTCCCGCCACTCCACCTCCCACAAAAAGAAGACACGGAAAAAAGGGAGTGAAAGAAAAGAATGAGATGATTTAGTACATATAATCAAACATGCAGACAGCCACACAAAATTTGCACAGTCACAGTTCGGTTGAGGGGGGAGTGTGAGAGCGGCTAAGGGTAGAGCAGGCATACCCAAAGGCCTACAGCTCAATTTGGCTGACAAGAGCAAAACATACATAGAAAGGGAGATATTTTAAAGTCATTGTCCTTGTAGGTCTAAAGAGCCTCGGGGCCTGCTCTCTCTCTCTCGCTCTCTCTCTCTCTGCCGCTGCCCCCCAAGGACATATTACAGCATTGATTCAATTTCATGTCAATTTACGTGTCAATGCGACACTAATACGCCAAGGGTCGTGGACTCCGCCCAAGAGTCCTGTCCCCGGCCTATCGCCTGGCCTCCCCTTATCATGCCAGGCCGAAAGGGAGAGAACCAGAACGGGGGCTGGGGCTGGGTCTGGGTCTGTGGCAACAAGGTGTGCATTTAAAATTATTTACAACATTTGCGAAAATATGTTTGCCAAATGCCAAAGGGAACAGAGGCAGCAGCAATGAAATTTTGTTTTCTTTTTAGGTCTGCCCCAAAAAGTATGCTACGTATGTTTTTTTTGAGCAGCCCCGTCTCGGTAATAACTTGCGGCCTGTTACGCCTTGGCCTTGGCCCCGCGCGTGTGGGTATGTGTGGGTTAGATTGGTATGCCAGGGCATCACACTCACCCAGCCACACATCTTCCACACCACCCCAATCTGGATCCCGTCTCCCGCTTACATCCCAATCTGGATCTCTCCTCACCCTACTCCTCCCCCCCCCCCCACACACAATCTCGTACCGAACGCATGTGTTGACAACACTTGTGTAACGGTAAATTTGTG